AAATTGACGTCCATCGTTAGACAAAGTAAAATAAATGGTTATGTAAGAATATTACGTAACATATGGCAATATAAAAATATTTCAGCTGGTATATGGCGATCTACGGTCAGAAATGCTACATAAAAGCGTTGTTGTTGTGAATACTATGATAATAGTTTTATTCTGTTTACCTACCAGAATAATTAGTGACTGATATACATTATCACAATTCTAAGGTCGGTCCCTAAGCTACATGTGTTTCTGCTGCCAATGCTATTTGCAAGGGCATTAATATCTTTAAGAAATGTTACGACTATATTTTGATTATGAACATTTTACTACCTATAATTCGACTTCGTTTTAATTTTTATTTGTTCATACTCTGTAAGATTCATACTGTATGTGCACAAAAATACGAAAGTAAAAATGAGAAATAAGTGAAACCAAAAACCAAACTTTGCTGAAAGAAGAAAATTCACGCATGACAAAAATTATAATCTTCCCATTGCTCTCGAAGCCAAGTACTTCACGGCATTTGACTGACTTGTTAAGGTATTTAACGAACGCATTAAGTTCAGAAGTTATCTAGCCTCAAATAGGGTGACAATGATTTTCAGTGAACTACAGCGGATAGGGTAGAACGCATTCGCTTCCCACTAAAAGATCCGGATATCTACAAAATACAGATCAGATTAATCATCGATAAATAAACTTTATCAGTGCACCATGTCATTTTAAATAATCTATTAATTGCATGGGAGGTGGTATTACTCCTGACAATATTATATTTTCGTAACTGTGCACCCGTGCATCTATCAACAATTTATTGTACATATAATGACATCATTCCGGAGTTATTTTCATATTACAGAACGGGTCCGAGGACTGTATCAAAAGCTGTTCTTGCCGTAGGGAACTTCACAATAATTCAGGTAAGTAAATCTGTCCATGAATAGGATAAATATTTGCAATAAAATATCCAATCACGCAGGCATATTGCTTAACAGAAGTCTGACACAAGCAATTATAAATAATAAAAACAAGATAAGTCATACGGATAAATTCAAGAGACTTACAAACTTCTGGAATTATGATGCCACTTCTGATTTCGGACTTCATAAAGTTTAAGGGATTGATTTTTGTTGCACAGTATTTTCATAAATATGACCTCAAAATTTTTTTCATTGAAAAATGCTCAGTCAAGACAGGTATTCTCTTAAATATTATACATCTCGAACTGTTTCTGTAATCCTTACATATCTGAAAATAAAAAACTATTTATTTACATAAATTCGCTGTTCAACGTTTAGACGTATATACTGTAGAAAGATGAAGATATATAAGAGGAAACCTGACACGTTTCCGAGTTACTGATGTGCACAAAGACGGACTGTGAAATTTAATTTGTTGACCATGAGCGAGCATTATTATTTCATCGTTAAATTTAACTTATAAGGATTGTTTCCGAAAGCATAACCATGAAATTCATGGGTCATAAAACATGGCCGTACAAGAAAATTGGGCACAAAAAAAAAACACATTAGGCAAGTTCAGTCTTGCCATTTTACGCTGTATGAACAACGGTATCCTGTATGTATGTATGTGTGTATGTAAACGGCGTAGTTTGAGCAGTTCATTTAATTTTAGTGGAAAACATTTCAGTTTATAAAATTCTAGGAATTAAATAAATAATTGGTCACTAAACTAGGGAATTTTATACATCGGTTGTCACTTTAGCTAGGCCAGAGGCTGTTTGTATTTCGTGTGCTTGTGTTCCAGTTCACTCGCCTCGATAAACCGGCAGAAACGCGTAGCGTGAAGTGAAAATATCGGATCGGTAAATTCTGAATGCTAAACGGATATATTAAATATGAGGCTTACGTACAGATATTTGTGTAATCTATTTAACAAAAACCCTAATGACCTGTACAAGAAACGACCCGAACTACACAAGACCTAATGAAGGGTCACTGGAACTGTTTTATCTTCTCAGGAGTCAAACCAAAATGAGCGGAAGATAGGCTCATAGTTGGCAGTCTACACAGAAGTTATCGTCGGCGCCATGAGAACCTAAAATCTCACAAATATATTGTACTCCTAATAGCCATTGTCAGTCACGATGAACTGTACGACTGAGCCGTTAGTGTCGTAGCAAGAAATGCAAAAACAATTATGGTGGCGTCTATGGTGGGGTGTGTGTTTGGCGGGAGTCCGGAATGAGGCGGTCGGTTTTGTGTTTGTGCTTTTGGTACTAATATCGTGAATGCTTTCAAATTTAATTAACTTTCAAGAAATTGTACAAACTTCGAATTTCAAAGATCCTGCTGCAATAAACTGTATTAATGTTTAACACAAAGAAAGTAGCGTCATAATTTCTGATAAATTTTAAAATAAATTCTCGTATCGAAAATAAAACGAGTTGTACTAAATGTTTCACTGTGTATATGTAGAATGCTGGAACACTGATGTAACGTGTGAGAAAGTTCGTAGGTCTGAAATAAAAGGGCCAGGTCCTTCTCCACCCCGGCTTCACTGCAGAGAAACCACATTGCTCAAAGTCGCGTGGCAGTGTCCGGGCAAACCTGTGTTCGTCGTCGAGACGCGACGAGAAGGCGTCGACGTGTGGAGTCCGTTGGAGAAGGTACAGTTGCGAATTGCTCAAGTTTTGTCGATGTGTTGCAATTTTCATTCGCATTGTGTATTACTTTCAAACTTTTGATATATAGTTTACTACTGAATCAGACTATTTTATTTGTACGTTTACAGGTGGTTTATTACTGGTGTTGACTTATGTTTGGTAAATGTCCGGACCATTAACAATAATAAATTCATTTTATTCGTAACTCCAGCAAACTTAACGTATCTATAATGTTTTCTACCTTATAATATATTTTAAAAAAATCATAATGCATATAATTTAAAGTACGTTTTAGACAACATAAAATTGAACACATTGCTCTAGAGACGGCATTAGTTTTATATTCTTTATTCATAAGGCACTTTCATAACGACTTTACTACGTGTCCTTTACGTTTGGAAAATGGTGGTATCAGAGTTCCAAACAAAAACTTAAAATCAGCACTTTCCACACGAAAGATGACCTTCTGTTCGCTGTGCCTTAGCAGCCAATGTAATTTTTAATAGGTTTAATATTAACTTCTTTAATAACCCACTTTTTAACATAAAACTTTTGTTTAAATCTATTTATCGATAATTACAATGTTTGTACTTTAATAACTATAATGTACTTCTTACGAGAATGTGTTTTTATTTTAATTTAGAAATTGTTTGGTTTTATGATCGATGCATCTTTATTCAGCTTACTCAGTAATTGGATCGCGTATATGTTAAGTTAGTACATTAAAATAAAGACAGCAATCTTCAGACTCAAATCCTACATAAAGAATGTAATTAAGTTATTAGGCTATTCTACGTTAAACACGCTCTGACATAATAAAAACATAACATAACATGTTATACTCCTGGAAGTTGTAAATGTAAAGGTGTCTCACTACACGCCATGCGGGGGGGGGGGGGGAAGTGGTCAGCGTGACGCCCCGGCCGCGCTTAACCCCCGAGACCAATTGGATTGGTGGCTGGATAAACCCCAAAGGCTGTCTGGACGCAGATGCTACAAAAAACTCTTTGCCCCAGCCAGGGACCAAACCTCAGCCATCCAGTCCGTAGTCAGAAACAAGAAGTTGTACAGTCCATTATTAACGTGAACTGCCGACGTCCATATATTGATTAAACTTCGTATAAATATAATAGAACTTGAAGGCAGTTTGAACTGCATGTTTTGGCATGCTACTTACCATGAGAGTTAAAATGTAAATTTCTTTGTTTAATTTTAGTGTTTTAAATAGTAGTCGCTAAATTTCTAATCCATAAAATGTGGATAAGATAGTTCAATATCATTTTACTTTGTTTTGAATTTTGTCTAATTTCGATACAAGCGTTTTCAGAAGCCAAAAGTGTGCAGGTGTGTAATTACGTACGCAGCAAAATCAGAATTTTCGTTCTTGCGAAACTGTTTTCGGAAGTTTGGTCAAATTAAAATCGCTCAGATTAAACATAAAGAAATGTTAATCATTATACGTACGGGCATTTCGTATTCCCAGGAATGGAACAATGTACTGTCAGGTATAGTATAATTTCATCAGTAAGAATGATCATAAGATGAATGGGTTCTCATCTGCTAAACGGAAGTCCGTAGTAAAATGGCAACTACTATTTTATTCAAAGTCGAAAATTTACCTGCAGAGATCTTATACCGTCGAATGAAACTGAAATATGATACAGCTTTTTTCTCAACCTGCTGTCCGCAAGTTGCGCTTAATGGGCCCGCGAGTTGAATAGATTCTACTGTTATATTTTATTTTTTATTATTCTGCATTGCTGTAAGTCTAGATATTTCTGTCGTCACATTTTTACTTCCACACTGAAGTAAAAAAATCACAAAACTATTCCTTTTATCTACTTATATTTTTAGTTAGTGTGAAATTTATTTAATCAAAATATGTAAGATTTGAGGTTTTCACAGCGGTGAGTATGAAGATTTCTGTCTTCTGGGTTGTTGCGCTGTGTAGTATGGTCGGTGTTTACCAACGTTTCAGAGATCATACTGCCTCCGTCATCAGGGCGATTCATCGCCATGATGACAGAAATCTTCATAATCAAAATTAGATAATTTTCGGAGTGGTGGTCGGCTGTATTAAAAATATTGAGAAACAAGGAGATGGAGGTTATTATATAAAAAGGTTGCGGATACACTCCTGGCATTTGTCTGGTTTGACTGAGGAATACAACAAAAACCATCACTGAGAAAACCTATAAACAGGTCGCGATTTGAACCGGATACTTCGTGAACGCATGTCCAAAGCTTTACCTTGCACCAACTACCTGACGCGTGGTAGTTACAGAAACATATACGGAGGCGGTAAGAAACTAGAATTAGTCATACAAAGTTGGATTGCTGTCAAAAATTCGAAAGAAGATTACGTTTTCAGACACGGAAGAAAATGGTGACACTGTATGACGCGGAAAGTTTTACGAAGTACCAGTTTCGAGTGACAGCCTTTTTGCCGGACGGACAACTAGCAAACGCCTCCACCAGCGACTGGATCTCGACTTTGGACCGTAAGGAAGCCTAGAATTGCATTTGAACAGAGCACAGTAAAGCCGCACTAATTCGTACCCTTCCCTTCCTATGCAGAACTTTACAGAAAATGTCACATTTCTTCAGGAAACGACAGTGTACATCTTATTAAATTTATGATTACTAACGTTTGACACATAAATTACAGTTTTCTATTTTAAAATATCGCTCTCTTCCTGCTCTATTTGGTTTAAACTTCATTTTGACTATAAATATTTTCATAAAATTTCATTTTTATTTTTGTCATATTTGCGTCATAATAAGTTAAAACATATCCTTACGTTGTGAATAAATCTGCTGTTATATGGAGGCTGTTAATTGATAGTATTTACATATAATTATGTTCTAACTTATAATTCGGATTTTTCACTGATTCAGACTACGCTTTTCCCCACATTGCTAAGAATTAGTGAGGTTTTACAGTATTGAAGTATTCTACTATGAGATGTCTGCGCGGTCTTAAGCCACGTTGGAATTACAGGTCCTTATCTTCATGTATTTTCTTGAAAATAAACAGTCTACTATGGACTGATCTCAAATTTAAGAAGTCACACCGTCCATTTCAAAACAAATTATAAAACTTCTGTTAATAAAGAACTCAGAGAGTAGCGCCAATGAAAGAGACGGCTGGATGAGAAATGTTAAGTTAAAACTTATTGTACTTACAAACGTAAATTTAAACAAATAGTTCTAGTATATACAATAATTGTGTTGGGATTTTTACAGGTGCATTTGAACCAGGTCCTGTGGGTGACATACGGGCTACAAATGCAAGTTTGAGACCCGACGGTCTTTATTTGCAGACTACAATCTCATGGGAACCAGCATGGGGTAAGCTGTTTTGACATTTCCTAAATAGACATCACACTCCACCTCACTGAGACGGTTTTTCAGTACAATAAGGCATAATTGCTTTGTTTTGCACAGCCAGTAAAGCAGTTTCGTCGAATTTTCCTTATATAACAAGACAAGGGACTAACAATAAAGACACGTATAATGAAGTAATCTAAGTAACGCACAATATATAACGTTATTTTCACTTTTATCTGTACCAATTATTATTTCTTACAAATACCTATCTTTTGGGGGACGTGTAACAGCTGAGAATTATACGTCGGAGTTATTTGCATTGCTTTTAAACATGCACGTGTTATTAAAATTGTATAAAAACTAATGAATTCTTGTTGGAAAATAAGAAGCAGATATCATACAGCAGTTCTCAGAAAATAAGAACAACAAATTAAGACAACGCATTGATTTGTATGTTAAAAATAAAATCTTTTTAAATTCCTATTTTCAAATTAATCCAGCAGATTTATTTATCCGTAAATTGTCTAAATCATCATAATAGCTTCCCTACTTAAACCCAGGGTCCATTATGTAAACAATTGCTTTCGTGATTTTCTGCAGACGTGCCAGATAATTTCTTGTATATGTGCCAGTCCAGGTTCGTGGTTCGATTCCCGAACGGGCTGAACCTTGAGATGAGGGGTAAACCACGCTTTGGCATATTAATCTGGTTTATATGAAGGTGCGATTAGAGGATATTTGATACTCCTTACTTCAACCAAATTTGAGTGATTTAATTAATTTTGGCATTGTTAAATGTATTAAATTGGAAGAGAGCGGTGACACTCAGTCGTGTGAACGTCTCTCCTCCCGACATTCCGACTAGCGAGAACGTGACTTTAACAAAGGTTTCGCACTCGTAAAAGCTGTTTACGAGGCGAAAACTTAAGCCCTTCCATATGTGGAATGAAGGTTGCCCGACAACCGTCGTCTGACTGCGACTGGAACCAATGGAATTCGAATGTGACTTTTCGACACGTTTCCGACGTCATGGGGTGACTTTTGGGTTGACGAATCGGATCGTCGTATTAAATTCAAAATTTAAGAACAGTTACGTTACGGGGTTATTTATAGCAGGACTGCGTTGTGTCGGTGAAGTCAGATAAAATTGTACTAAGGAATGTTGTAATAAAATGAATATTCCCTAGATAGAACAGCTGTACATTGTCTTAAATTGGCTGTAGCTTATTCATCTCACGTTCTCTAAATTATTCAATTTTCAATGGAAATCTCCGGGATTATCATTCATTTAAAGTCACCGAAAATTCTATGACATTCTCTCGCTGTCAATGAGAAGCAAACGGGGCGATCAACGTTTCGCTGTAGTGAGGGCACCAATAGCGAATGGGGCAGTGCTTAATGTTCTTAAGATAGAGAAAATTATTGAAAAGTGTTGTACATTAAGCCTGAAACTTAAACTTCATATATTTAATTACTTGTTCTCTACTTTTTTTAGAAATGCTACCAATGCATCACTGAAAAGCGAGCTGCCTTACTGTAGGTGCACTGGGGGTCGTCATATGGCATATGTCTAACACAAACATTAATTTCAATGTTGCGTATTTGTAATACAAAAATATTGATTCAGGAAATCTTAATAAACGTCATATTTCTATTCACGTAACGTCGTTTTAAATAAGGAGGTTATGAACTTTGAAATCTCTTCAAAAATAAGCGTGTTCGATTGGCTGTTTCCGTATGTCTCATCTTCTGAGAAGGAATGACGAATAATAAAAACACGTGAAAACTAATAAACCCCAAAATGTTAACATTAAATATAAAGCAAGACGTGTAAGAAAACTCAAAATAAACGTGATTCGTTGTATTCATATTTTAAAAATTCTGCCCACACCGCACAGTGGGATAGATTGCGATTCTAGCCGGAAAAAATTAATTTTTCTCACATTTAAATATGTCAGAATTTTTTCTTGGATTCTGTTAATAAAGATCCCTTCTATAAGAAAATGGCAAGAGTGCATGTTTTAAAGAAGACTAGCGCACCCCAGCTTCTCTTATCTGTTAGTGTTGAAGGAGGAAGAGATGCTTATGTTAGTAGTTACGTTCCAGACAGCTTGGAAGCAAGACCCTTGTAGCAGAAGACGAAAGGAAAATCTTTTGATATTTTAAATAGAAGTTATTGAGGAAGGTATGTAATATATTTTGTAGTAGGTTTTTTATAAATATCTGTATTATTTTTATACATATGGCACGCTAACTTAAATATGGCGCTTTAACTGATCACTTTTCATCTTTCCGATGTTCACATAGACTTTTAGTTGCTAGAGTCATCGAGAGTCACGACCAAATTCACGTAAAAATATAGAATAGAGTATGCACTTTAAGATGAGGCCTGTTTCGTTTACTAGTTTTTGCTAATCTGAGTGTCGTGAATTTTTTCCAGAATTAGGAGCACCTCCGCCAATCTCACGCTGAGACATATTTCCGTTACTGTGCAAAAGGATTACAGCTTTTGATTAACTTTGTGCTTATATTCTTAAAAGATTAGATATTGTAAAATGTTCTTCCGAAAATAGAAACCGTTTAAGTGTGATTTTGAAGAATCTGCGTATCAATTTTAATAAAAAGTGAGTACAGTGACTCCGCAATAAGAATTTCTTTTTAGATAAGAATTCTAATTGGTTAGATGTGTATCTAAATTTGCCAGAAACATTAGTAGAGCAGATAAAACAAAGTAACAGGTTCGAGCCATCGACAAGTGGGGTCAGGGGTAGGCGAGGAAAACTTTTTCAAGAATGTAGTGATAGAGGAAAACAGAAAAAAATCAGCCTTTAGTGGAAAATCATGAAGTATCGGCGAATATTTCTGGAATTAATGAAGACCTTATTTGCCGATTTTCTATAATTTTGTGCACCTTGTCCTGTGGATAGACAGTGAATGTTGAGGCATTTGATAATTATGCCATGGAAACAGCAAATTTATATGTTAATTTATAACCATGGTACTATATGCCTGCAAGTGTCCATAAGATACTGATTCATGGCGGAAAAATTATAGAATCTGCCTATCGGATTGTTATCTGAAGATGGCCAGGCACAAAGATGTGCGAAGATACAGACTCGATCCCGCCAGGAAATGTTCGCGAGAACGAAATTTAGAAGATGTCCTGCACATGTTACTAGTTTGTTCTGATCCTTTAATATCGCAGATTAAACAGGCCTCGAGAGCAAGGAAGCCACATTTACCTTCTGAAGTACTCAAATTATCGAAGGAACCGGATATTGATACTGATAAGCAAAAACATGAGGACGAGGAAGGATACAGCTCTTCGGATGCTTCGGATGGTACACATAAAACTACTTAATATATATTATAAAATAATATATCGCACTTTTTGCTGTCAGAATTTTCATTTTCAATATTCAGATTAAAAAAAATCAAATTTCGATTTTTTTTCCGGCTAGAATCGCAATCTATCCTACTGTGCACCGCAACGAACACCTTCAAATTATCGTCCTGCTTGGATTCGCCTCGTGAAACCATTTACGGAGGCAAACGAGAAGGAGCACGAGCCCGAAACGTCTGGACGCACCTTAACCCTTTAAATCTCAGTGGTAACTATACGTACCACCTGCTTTAACAATCAGTAGCTGCATTTGTATTCATCGATTCCATAAAGTTCCCACTGTAAACAGCTATTACTTCCTACACAGAATTAATAAATTAATCTTTGTAATGGAGAAGTGTTGTGCTTTCTTTGAGGTACGGACTGAATTCGTAAATACTACCTAGACAATTTTCGATTCTAAAGGATTAACACAAAGTTTAGGCTATATTACACAGTCTCCAGCGTTAAGAAAATGGGGCAGGCGAAGGTAGCCTGAAGCCAACAGAGCGAGGCAAATTCGATAAAGAGAATTTGTGACATATAAGAAAAGAGGAATAAAACAAGAAGCAAAGGAATGAGTTACTTCTCTCCACTTCCTTTGGTTCTCGCATTAATTATGAAGTACTTCGGTTGCATTGTGCTTCTTCATTGAATAACGGGCGTACTTTTCAGTTCTGCCAGTAAACAAGGGGCACAACCCTGAAAGTAACGTTCTCGAACGAAAACGTCCTTAAAGAAACCCTTTCTACTACACAAATACATTTTTTTATTCCATATTCTTTCATTTCAGTAATAAACAGTTTCGCTTATTTAGACTGTCTTGAATAAGAGTTCGTTCTTTTATCAAATAAGTTAATAAAGAACATTTGTACTGGTTCCCGTCGGAAAGAAAGTCGACATTTAATATAGCTATGCGAAGACATACGTAACATTACAATGTCGACCTTTTAAAAATGATCCCAAATGATTATAAAAGGTTTTCCCTCCACATAAATGTTATAAAAACGCTTAAAACGTAGATAAAATAATACAAATAAACAAATAACAATATACTTTATAGGTTCATGTAATAAAAATTAATTTTAATTAATACTTGATAATTAATCCTTGAAGATATTTATGGGAATAACTTAGGATGCATATATTTTATTTCAGAAGCTTCATTCAGTAGTAAGGGCTTCCAGCGGGCCGAATTGATCAGTGAAAGAATTGAATTCATCCACAGTTCTTTTCCAGATACTATTAACATGTTATAGTAATCAATTACTGGAGTCAACTTTTCTTCATAGAGTAATATCACACTCCTACCTGCGTGTAGCTGATGAAATTTCTCAGTAGAAATTTAAAAAATTCCGAAAACGTTTCGCTCACGCAGGCATGTACTTTATCCATTAAAATTATAAATACGAGTGGCCATTGCTGAAATAAAGTAACAGGATATTATATCAGATTTGGGAAACGTTTGTTCTATATCTGTCCGTTTGTCTGCGTAAAGCAGAACTATAAGAGCTAAACGTTATATAGTACCCTGAATCAATATATATTACAATAAACATCAGAGTCAACACTTTCAATACATACCATTTAAAATGGCAAGGAAATTTTCAAATACGTTGTATGTTTTCCTTTCTTACAGACAGAACATGCTACTATGAAGCGGTGTATCTGTCGGGCATGTCTTGGAATAACCCCGTTTACATTGAGGAGGTACGATTATGAATGACTAAGTTATGTTTATATTTAACTAATATGATTAGAGTCTTTCCTAATATGAATATAATTCTGCTACTGTAAACCTACATATTATTACAATCAAATCCCGATAATCAAAGTAGAAATTGCTGTTGATTCCACTCGTCTAAATTTCAGAACCACACACAGGCCATTCTCCTTATACACGGATGTTGCGTTTTCGCAAATCGCCGCGTATACTGAAAACACGTAAAACGAGAAACGTATAACAATCATAATTTTGACGTTAAATTGGAGCCAGAATTTTGTAATAAATCTTGAATATGCAGAAATGCGTGTAGCAAAGGCGCGTATAACGAAAGTCGCCTGTAATAGGAGAAAACCTATTTATTATAAAAGTACAGAGAATGTACTTAAACATGGGGTTAACAACCATATTGAGTTTAATAAATGTTCATTAGTCATATACTAACTTTATAAACTTTCTGTTACATGTCAGCCAGAGAAGTTCGAATATTTGTTGGATTCCTTAAAGTTTGGAACAAAGTATAATATCTTCATTATGGGA